CTTCTTAACCAATGACACTTGATCAACCGTAAATTTGATTGCGTCAACGGCAGGGCGTGTACGCAGATAATACATGCCGGTTTTAAGACCTTTCTTCCATGCGTAGCTATGAATATCATAATTGGCAAAGTTATCACATGTGTTCTGAACAGTATTCTCCTTATGCTTACAAACCGATCAAATGTAGTTAGGATTGGGGCACAAAAATCGTTGGATATACCTTCAGGTCGGAGAACATACTTATTCTCTCAGTGCATAAATTTCTTGAGCATGCCAGAGGACCTCCGCCCCAAACCCTAAGTTATGGATTGGAACCGGTTTAGTCGATTAAAAATTAATAGAATTAAATTACTATGTTTAGTCAACTAATTATTAATCGACTAAATATAATAGTCTACTAAATCGATTCCAATCCCTACCCTAAATGCAATATAGGTTATAAGCTCCACTGGTTACTGATACTCGTTGAGTCGTGCGACTATATGGAGCTTGTTAACCTATCCCATACAATTTTATAGACACTTACAAATGCATAGATGATATTTTGCCAACACTCGGCTCAGAAAGAAATACGTTCAATGACTGCGATTGGTCAATGAATGGTGCTCGGTCTGCTGCAAAATCTATAAGAACCCTTTGTGGTATTTCCCAAATTGTTTTATAAAGTTTCTTTAAATCATCATCCAACTCTTCAAAACCTTGAACAGAGCCATTAGCGGCGATTATTTCATTCTTCATTTTTTCATTCCAAATACCCATTTCGGTCAAATCATTGAGTAAATGATGGTTCTAAACAATGCCAATGTGAATTATTATATTTAATATTTATAATTATTGTTAACACAATTATTCTTTATCATTACCACAACTTGGAATTCTCCGCTTAAGACACGACGCGTGTAAATATTACTTGTGTATGGTTCAAAACATTCATTATTGCCAAGGATTTGGCTAGTGGAAGCAGTTGGCATTGGTGCTATTAATAATGAATTTCTTATTCCATGCTTGCGTATATCCGCTTTTAATTTTATCCAATCCCACCGATTAGACGGTTCGACATTCCACATTTCATATTGAAGAATTCCCTGACTGATTGGCGATCCCTCATAAGTTGTATATGGACCCTCCTTCGCAGCAATTTCACATGATGATTCAAGTGCGGCATGATACAATGTTTCAAATATATTACGATTTAATTTACGTGCATTTTCAGATTCCCATGGATAACGCAGCATAATTAAAGCATCAGCGAGACCTGAACGTGATATAAAATTTAAAGCTAATAAATATGTTAATTCTCCAATATAGCAAAGTAAAGTATTTCTTGCCTTGAACGCCAAGACCTACACTAATAGTAACAAGAAAAAAAAATGAAAATATTTCAAAGGATAAATAAGTCTCTTCACGATATGAAATTTAAGCCACGCTTATACTTACGGCCTATGCCTCTTGTTACTTTTCTCAGCTTCAGGAACAGGATAGTAGTTCTTATCAATGACCTTATTCAAGTTTCTGATGACAACTTTGGCTATTTCATGAAGTTTATCGAAATCAAAAGTCTTCGTTTTGACATTAACGAATTTAGGAAGTGAGATTGATGCTAGATTGCACACTGCTACTTCGTCTGGGGCGGTATACTCTATAATCTCCGTGCAGAGATTAGAGCACGTGATAGTTCCAAGATTCTTTTGGTTTGACTTTTCATTACAGGCATCTAAAATTGTTGAACATTATTTCAGAACTCAATAAAGGCAATACTTGATCAAGATTTTTCTTACCTTTATAGACCATATAAGGCATCCCAGTCTCTATTTGGGAATCAACAATAGCAAGCCATAACTTTTGTGCCTTGATCGTTTTACGTGCCTTTCCTTCTCTTTCATATTTAGTATATAAATCATCGAATGCTTGACCATAAACACTATCAAGACCAGGGCATTCATGTGGGCAAAATAGTGACCAATCCTCGTTTTTCTCCACTCCTTTTGAATAATAATATTAATACGTATGTATTATACATGAAATTAATAAATGGTAAACAGTCTACAACATACTTTTCATAAAAAGATCTGGAATCCAAAGTCCTAGAAATAAGTCGCGTGCCCTAATTTCTTCCTTTCCAGTATTTTTCCTTAGGTCAAGAAATTCGAATATGTCCGAATGCCAAGGCTCAATATAACTATAAAATATGTGTATGTAAATATAAAAAATAAAACAACCACTTGCCAGATCTTAATAATACCTACACCGCAAAACTACCATTTCTCTTTCCACCACCTTGATTTACGAATCGTGAAGTGTCATTGAATACGCGAAGCATAGGGACAAGGCCATTTGAAGTCCCACCGGTACCGGCGATATACGATCCAGAAGCTCGGATTTTTTGTGTGCTAATTCCAATACCGCCGGCCGATTTTGAAATTAATGCGCACGTTGTAAGTGTGTCGTAAATGCCTTCAATGCTAAATAATGTCTATCATCACTATTTTATCATAATAGTTCGCTAAAATGTAATAATATTAAAAAATACCTGTCATCCTTCATCTGTATCAAAAAACAACTTGACATTTGAGGTCTCGGTGTACCAGCATTAAATAAAGTAGGACTCGCGTGAGTGAAATATTTTTCAGACATTAGATTATAAGTCTCTATAGCTGCATCGATATCATTTCCATGAATACCAATCGATACACGCATTAACATATGTTGCGGTCTTTCTACAACTCGCCCTATAATAGTATATAACTACATAAATTAGTGTAATTCTCTTATAAACAACAATTCTTAATCACCTACACACCTTCGATTTTCATCAAATAACTCTTTTCCAAAGTCTTGAACCCAAAATAGTTATAAGCATAATCTCTATCGTAAATAATCGCCGAATTTAACCTGTCTGCATTCTCCATAACAATATCATATACTTCTTTTGAAACTAAAGGTACATGAATTTTTCGTGTAGGATTAACATGATCATAAAGTTCTTGGATAACAACACTGAACTAAATTACCAAAATCTATGTCATTAAGCATGCCTCTAAAAAGGACTCATAAAATTATGATGCGATACTTTACTTGTTTCGTCGTTTCCTTGTGTAAATTTGATATAGCAATTCGAGCCGCCAAAATAGCGTAGTCCGGATGATTACATGTCAAATAAGCTGCTGTCTCAGCTGCCAGGTTGTCTAGTTCGACAGTTGTAACACCTTGATACATACCACTGATAACCTATATTTTAAAAGGGTTTAAGCAAGCAAATAGTTTGTAAATACAAGTGAAATACATGTTATACCTTTTGTGATATTTTTGGAGGATCAATGAACTCCATATTTAAACCGTAACATAACTTAGATATTCTTGAAGTAATCTTGTCAAAATAAACGCGTTCTTTCCTTC